TTTCCAATGCCTGAGGCATCATTTTCCACACAAAGACCTTTCCCAGTGTACCTCCTCGAGTACATCCTGCACTCCACCAAGGCACTCCACATTGCCAGGCATTGGGTCATCATATGCCCTATAACTTGCAATAATTAATTTCCCTTTCCATGGAAAGACTATGTTACATCAGTGAATATCATTGACACAGTGAGGTGGCTGCAAATATCCTGGTTCTGCTGTTAATGCAATACAAGACCCAGAAAATAAAGTGCCTTGTAGTTTAAAGGTCTGGGAACATGATGTGGATGTAAAAAATTGGTAGTACAAACTCATTTGTTCTTTCGCAGTTTGGGCCATATTTTTTCTGTGGCTTTCAGCAAATCCCTGAGGTTTTCTGAGCCCAGTCTGTAAAATTGGGCTGGCAGTCTTTTGTCACGTCCCACATAAGGGACCATTAAAGATTGATTCACTTGTGTTTGAAAATTGCTGTGAAGATGAAAACTGCAGTATAAATTCTGCCTATTGTTCCAAATCCAAATCCTGATTTCAAAGGCTGCCAGGGTTAAAGTGGTACTAGACTGATTTAAGTGGAAATCAAGACACAGTGTGGCTGATGCAGGAGTCAGACAGAACATGTCCAACCAGCAGCAGCCTGAGAGGAAGTGCTACAGAGAGATGATACATAAAGCTATTCAATGGCATAAAGTCGCACATAAAATAAATCTCATAACTGCCTTTTGCACTCTCTGGTCACTGTTCCTACAACTCTATTGGGCTCTGGCAGTAGTGAGAAACATATTAATGAAACAGAACAGTGTCTGGGAAGGATAAAGTGTCAGGTTGTATGATGAGATACACAGACATCCTTTGGAGTTTACCAAGAGTGAGACAGTAATATGCATGCTGAGAATAAAACCCTTGCCTTTGGAGGCAGATAGTGAAACATCAGAGGGGCAAAGAGGTGGGAAGACAAGCTCACACTGTGACACACAGTGACTCTGTCAGAGTGCATGAAAGGATCTGGCAAATGCTTCATCAGTGCCTTTCATAAGACCTGTCAAGGTAAGAAAAGAGGTGAATACCAAAGCAATGGATACCGGTGTGCTTGCTTTGATAAGAGCCAGAGCACAAACCCATGACTCCACCCCACAAGGGCACAGCTGCTTGTTACTGCAGACAGGAAAAGGTCCAGAGACTTTCATTCAGATTTTCTGTCTAAGAAACGAAACAGCAAAATTAACAGGGTTAATTAATAACCTTAGAAATCCATCATTAATTAAAAACTAGTACTGGGTCATTGAAGTCCAAGGATATTGGACTCACAGTGTGGATGATGATGCTTGAGACAGAGCCCTAATCACCTAATTGAACATGTTGTTGATCTATGCAGCCTCCGTGGCACAGGAATGGGCCTGGAATGAGAATGCATTGTGCTGGTGTGTTTGCCCCTGCCTGTAAGAGATCTGAAAGCCCTCAGGAAACCTGGGGCAGCCTGAAAGCAGAAGCTGCACATGGGAGCTGACCAAAACCCAGAGATATCTGTAGAAAGTGCCCCATATGTAAAACAAAAGATGTTCTAACCTGTGTTACAGTGCTGTTACCATCACTCCTCTCCTGTGTCTGTTGAGGTGACCCATGGTGGCAGGACCCATAGAGCCATACACACCTGTGATGACAGCCCGGCCCACAGCTCAGGGGAGGACAGCCTGCTCCAGCAGCCCGGGGCTCTATCAACCCAGAGACCTGGAATGAGATGGAAACCACACACAAACATGGGGAAAATGCCATCCAAATGGTGAGAAACTGCACATGATTCAGTAGGTTATCTGACTCAGCGGTTTCCTACTGAGTGCTGGCTGCTATGCAGTGACACAAGGTATGGGAACAGCTTTCCCAGCATACAGGAAAAACAAAGGCTTTCTGGTGTGCATGGGAGCAAAGCAGCCCAAGACAGTCCTGTAAACTACCAAGATGCCACTATGCTTCCTGCAGTAGCCCTTTCCCTCCACACATTTCAAGGACTAACAATAATTTATTAAAACATTGCTCTTCTACCCTGCCTTTCAGTCACAGCATTTTATAAGCATTGTCAAAGAAAGCTTCCCAATCCCTCTGGAAGGTGATTGCTATCTATGTTTTATGGCTGGACAAGCAAAGTCCTGGGGAGATGAAAGGCTGGCTGCTCCCAGCCTTGTCTGAATGGGCAAGGGAAGAGGCAGGGGGCGTAAAACCTCCTCTTTTCCTCTTGCTCAGCCTTTCCTACCCCAGCTGTCCCATCAGGAAAGAGAGCCTGGGAGTTCTGGTGTATCTGTCTGTCACTGTGACACACAGACATTCCCAGAGGGATGGAATTGTGTGTTTCACCACACCCATGCCAGGAGCAAAGGGACCTATCACTAGGACAGAGAAAATGGCACATGCCACCTGACAGATCATTTGCATGCACAGCAGGGAATTTTTTGCACTCAGGACTTTCAGGGACTCAGGACTTTGCCCCTGCTAGCAAGATGGCATGACTGAGGGTTGGCTGAAATGTACAGTCTGTAAGTGAGAGGGCCAAGTTTTCATCATCTAAAAACAGCAGATGATCAGGGTCAAGACATTGGAGTGACTGCTCATAACCAAACTGTCTTATTAGATTGCTAGCCCCAGTTTTGGACCCAGATGTTGTAGCATATAAAAACTGACATAAATTTATGGTAGAAAAGTTGCCTTTGGGCTCTCTAGTGTCCATCATGAGCAGTGCACACAATCATTTAATGTTTCCTCTGGGCATCCAGCATAAACACTGCTTTTATGTAACATACCTACACACATGCACATATGTGCAGGAGAATTTGGGAATAGTTTCCATGAATTCTTAGCGGAAAAATTAGTCTACCTCAATGCCATGTTGAATTGCATTGTGCTCATATCATCACACATCTGGTACAGCTGTGGCTCTCTGTGACAGACTGACAGTCTGTGCCTCCCACAACAGCTACATGGAAAAGGCCTTCTGTTTGTAATGCTGCCTTCTGCAGCCCTCTCTGTCCCCTAAGGGTCATTAAATAATATATTCTATACCATTGTTTCAGTTTCTCCTTTTACATCCAGCAGATGAATTATTATGAACACCAGCTTTGCCTTCCCCTGACCACAGCCTCCTCCATATAGTGAAGATAAAGATTTAGACAAGTCACACATTTCAAAAACCATCTAGGAAAACATTCACACTATTTTAAAAACTCCCTGCCCAACACTGTAGTGGCAATTGCCTCAAAAAATCCCCACCTATAAAGAAAGTAAACAAATACAACATCAATGAGAATCAGAAGAAAGCAATAGTATTGCTTGCTATTCTGCAACCACTTCAAAATTCAAAGCAAACCAACTAAAATTGCTTTCCTAATTCTCTTTTTATTCTTTTCCCTAGACCTTTCCCATAAGGTACCTAGTGGAAATTAAAGCAATAGTTTTATATAGATAAATCCATAGCATTGAAAAGAGTCTGATCTCTTTTCCCTAGATGCTCAAAGACTGCACCAGTCTATATGGTGTTTGAAAACCATGTGGGAAGGAGATCATTCTCTCTTAAATTCAATAGGCTTTTAGAAGCACATTTATTCACTTCTATAGAGTTTTTCCATATGGGATTTCAGAGCTTTTTATACAAGAAGGTGCCCCCTTTTCTCCTCTTCTCTCCTTCCTTTGTACTTGTTCTTTTATCAGCACAAAGCTGAAGTGAACAATAGTACACACTCAGCTTTACATCCTGCAACATCCAGGACTCTGAAGAACAAAGAAACAAATACCCGACCGAGGGCCTAAAGATAGCAAATTCAGTGTGATGGGTAACTTTAGCTGCAGTGGAAAGTTCTGGTGCTGGTGGAAGAAGAAGGTTCACTTTAGGAGCCAAAGAAGATGAGTACCGAAAGCTGGTTCCAATGTAGGCTGGCTATAAAATCCCAACTGAGTCACTCTGCCTCTCCGAGCTGCATTTTCTACAGCTGCAAAATGGGGTTTTGGCCCAGAAACTCGGGTAGTGGTTTTATAAGGCATTATAAAGGACTGCAAGGAATATAAACAAATAACTACTTTTTTCATGTGGGAGGGCAGGTGCAAAGACAGAAGGGAGAAGAGCAAATACATTGAGTGGGAGTGTGGGGATAGCACTTGGGACAATTTATTAATTTGGTTTCCATCTCATTCTCATAAACAACCTACAGCTGAGTGAATCTGCTTGTTGATCACTCTCTGCCTGCTGAGTGTTTCCCTGCACTAGGTCCTTGGTCCTGCTCCATGCTGTAGGCTGCCCCTTGCTGCCCTGCCTGCACCCAGCATCTCCACCCTGCCAGGGCTTGCTCCCACCTCAAGGTGCTGAGCCCAAGCAGCTCCCTGCTTTAGACCATGGGGCAGATGGGGTGACTGTGACCCGGCATCCTTTGGTCACTGCATCATCCTGTTTGCCCTTGGTCTGGAAACCGGACTGGGGAATCACATATCCTTCCCCAGCTGACTTGTTACAGAAGGAGAAAGAAAAATGTTTTTCTCTCCCTAGCGCAGATGTCCCTCAGAGACATCCGTGCAGAGCAGATGCTACCTGTGGGATCTGGAAAGCAGGGAGGGGGAGTGGGGCAGGTCAAAGCTCTGTGTGGTGCTGTACAAGGAAAGACAAGATTTTGCATTTGTCCCCTTCTCACTGAATCTCTGGTAAATCATGTCCTTGCCTGCTGCTATAATCACTGATTACATGCCATTTCCCTGTTGCATTAAAGCTGCTTTCTTAATTAATATCATTTTAAAGGGCGGGCTTGGCACAAAGGAGACAAACTGTTTTGAGCTCCAGTAAACACTGTTTGTATGTGATCATCCTAAGCAACTCCTGCAGCCTTTCTATGGTGAGCAGGCAGAAAGCACCATGAGTTAATGAACTGTGTTTTAACCACCTGATGCTGGTCAAAGCTTTGATCTATGAGGTTTAAGGCTGGGTGGAGGAGGGGAGGCAGAGTGCTCTGCCACCCTCCCCAGTACCACTGAAACTGTTAATCAGCCTGCTCTGCAGTCTGCTGCAGAGTTTGCTTTATTAAAGCTCCCTGCTGCCTGCACACGTTCACTGGCACAGACATCGAGAGACAAGCAAACACTTTCCCGAGTGCAGAATACTCTGCTGCATTGCAGAGTTTACTGGCAGAAAGTGATGGGGGTAGGTAATCGCAGGTGGAGACTTGGGTCCTCCCTCAGCTCGCCTGCATCTGCAATCTCCTGGATTTCTGTAGCAGGGGATACGAGGAGAGCTGGCAGCAAAACAGCCTTTTAGGGTTCTCTATCCAGTTCCTGAATATCTGGATAGCATTGCTTGTACTATGTACAAGTCTCAAATGTAGTCTCTACTGCTTAATGTGGTTTCTGTTTACAGTTATTCTAAAAACATAAAAATTAATTTCCTTTGAGGTACTTGAAGGGGTAAGCAACATTTTATTTATTATTGCTGTAAACTAACCTTGCCTCTGTCTAGAGGCCCTCTCTAAGGCTGAGGATGCTGTTGTGCTGTTGAAGTATTTAAATTAAATTCTGATGCCTTTCAAGGACCTGGCAGCCTGAGTATTAGAGGTTTTTTGGTTTTCCTATAGGTTGTCTCATATAGAAGGTTGAGCAGGATTAAGTCACTTTTTGAGGAAATTGTAGGTGATTCAATTAATTTCCTTTGTCCCCTCCTACCCCCACCCTGGTTAGGTTTTTTCCTTTTCTTTATATCTTCTGTTACAGCACAGAAATATTTGATTATTTCTTGAGGTTTAATACCAAATAGCTGCTCTGTTTTGTAATATGTGTAACCACACTGGATTTGTTGTTTTTAACAGGCAATTTTTTCTGGAAGAAAGCTGGTATTTGTTTAACAATTGTTAGACATTGCATTTGTAATCTCTAAATATGTGTGTGGAAATTTGATTATAATAATTTTATTCTTTATGAACAGCTGATTCAGGATTTCTTAGTTCCCCTTGTATTTTTTCAGACATATATCTCAGCTGCTCTTTTTTTTTTTTTTTTTTTTTGGGAAACAAGGATGGTTCAGATTTCTTCTCCTTACATGTTTCCTGGTGATACAGTACTGCAGTCTCTGCCTTACTCAGCTTATGTCTAATTGCAGAGCATTTAGCAAAAGAATTCAATTCAAATGCAAGTTTTAGATTTGGAGTTAACCGTCTATTACACTTGGCTTCGTTAGAAGATGTCATCTGAACAGCAAAGATAGTCTAATGAGGAGAAATTAATCTTCAGGCCCGTGTGAAGGTGGGCTTGCATCATTCTGAATCAAGAATTTGTGGTTTGGTAGGGTTTAGGGAAAAGGAAATTTTCTTTCCTCTGAAAAGCCAGGCTATATCTGTGTAAGTGTGACATCTGTTGCAGTGCTGCTTGCTGACAGTCTTCTGGGACAAGCTGGCCAGAAGGACTGGATATTGTGAGAATTAAAGCTCGGTATTCGTATGGCAGCTTAACTGCTGAGTGCACATGTTCTGAAGGAAAAACATGATTTACCTAAAAAGACCTACTGGGGCTGGATTTCTGGAGCTGTTGAAAAAGATCTCTTGACTCCCACAGGAACTGGTGGGAGTCCTGGCTTCCAGGTACATCCAAAAGCAAAAAAGTCTCATTGTCAAGATGAAGGTTATGACAAAAGAAGACAGATATGGTTTCATTATTATTTTAACCTTCCACATTAGAAATTTAATACGACTAAAACAAGGATGACATTTGATTGCCTTTAAGGAATGGTAAGGGTTAACATAATATAATATTCCTGCAAGGAAGACATTGGTAAGTGACATAGTTGTTATGCTGTTAATGGCCATTTGTGAGCAATTTTTCCTCGTTGCTCAGATCCTACTTTAATTCACTTCTTCCAGTGACCCTTTCAGTGTTAATCCACCACAAAAAGCGTTGCAGTTTTAATTAAAAAGGAAATCTCTATCTCACTAAGCTTAGTCTGCCATCTGATCATGCAGTATGGTTTACAGACAGTATTATCTGTCTAATTTGCATCATAAAACCATGACTTAAGCAAGGCAGAGACATTGTCAACCCTCAGCAAATAATGCTGCTCTAACCAAAACCAGCCATGTTCTAGGCAAAACTCAACTGTAAGAATGGAGATGTGTATCTCACATGGTGCTGCACACAAGGAGGGTTACAGGGGCACAGAGAACTCAGTGGGATACCTCTTTAAAATAAAACCTGTAGACTGAGTTTGGAGCAGCTCCTGAAAATATATGTTCCAGCTTGACAACAAGATAGGAATTTGAGGCAGGATTTAGTGGATTAAATGTTTTGGCTTCTGGTATAATGAAGGCTAGTGGTGCCTGCTGACCTTTAAAACCTGTGATCTTAAATACTGGCAGTTGTTATGTCCCCTGTTGCTTGGAACTTCATTAATTAAATTGAGTGGTAAGCTGCAAGGTTATGAACTGTCCTGAGGGCCTACATGTGACAAAAATTCACACTGGGCTGGGTAGTATCCCCAAATCCCATTCCAGCAGGTGATCAGCAGAAGTCCATGACCGGGCAAAAATCTTCTCTTAGTTGTTCTTATGTTTGGATTGAGGTAAAGCAGCTGTCCCAGGGCAGTATGGGCTTGAAGGAGAGCAGTAACATCAGCACTGCTGCTCAGCTCCCAGCTGCACCGGCACATCAAGGTAGCAAACATAACCTGGGAGTCCCCGAGTGACAACAGAGCCATACAGAAGTATTTTTTGCATTATTGTCAGATTTATAAAACATTGTGGGAGGAAAACAGTGGGGGGAAGGGATACAGAAACTGTATCTTGTATTATTAGCAAAGGAAGGAGGGAGGTACGAGTTCTGTGTTACTCTGTAAGCTCTTTACCTCAGAGGAAGGTGAACCCCACCTGGCAGAAATTAAATGTTAATGTATCAAATTATGTCCAAAAGCACATAAAGCTCAAGGGACACCTTATGATACCCTTTGAAAACAAGATCTAATTTAATTCATTTGCATATCCTGATACCCAATACTGCAAATTGGCATTGGTGGGTTAATGCACTGCTACCATTACGCTCCCTTGAGCTTATTGGAAAACCGTAGTCAACAAACTGCAGGCACTGAATTGAAGTGTCTGGTCAGGGAAAACCAGATCAAACTACATCGTCTTAATTGTGACCTGTTTTGGGATGCAGAAGGGTGGCAGCAACCCTTGGTGGAAAGAAACAGTAAATTGATTTTGCTGAGAACCTCATCAATCACTGGTCACAGTGACCCATGGATCATTAATCTCATTAAAAACTTCAGCCTCGTGGCAAAAGTAATAGCAGACATGTTAAAAGTGTGCAAATTAGATATGCTTTCACAAATGCAAATGTGTCTGGCTGGTGTTCCTGAGGAGAACTCCATTTCTAAATTGGGCAAACTTTTCACTGACTCCAGCTGAACTTCAGCCATTTACTCAGTGTCAGATGCCATCTTTAGGAGCTGTGAAAACTATATGGAAGGTATGTGGTCTGTTAGTGAGTCATGTTTATGTACTCACTTCAAGGCAGGGAGAGCTGAACAGTGGGCACGGGACATCCCCTCTTAATGCTGTGACCTTCTTGACAGCCAGTCTCTCTGCTGCCTGAGCTCTTTAGGTGAGGTGATTCAAAAACAGCCTGAGAAACTGCCCTGGTTCTGGCCCAAATCAGTGGGAGGATATGGCCAAGGCACTGTGTTATTTGATACCATCTTATGTCATGGGCTGGGGAAAAGGACTCCCTGAGAATGGACTTCTGAGAAGAAGGGGTGTGGGTTCCAGCTGGGAGCAAGTGTGGCAGATAGAGAAGCTGAGGTGGGGTGGTCATGTCAGCTTGGGCTTAGTGACCGTCTTTCATGTAAATCACCCTCTTTTTTAGCATACTTTTGTTATTAATATTGTTGCTGTTCATTTTCTTATCTCATTGCTGTTTCCAGTAAATTGTTCCTATTTCAACCTATGATTTTTCACATAATTATTGACTTCATCCCTGGAGCAAGAAGTGGGAAGGAAAATGGGGGAGTAAGTACTTGGTATCTTGTTTGGGTGAGTCTCAAGACAGGCTGTGACAGCAACACATCAACAGTACGCAGGCAACACTGATTTTCTGACCGTCTGTGAATCCAAGGAGTTTGCATTTTCTTGGAGGATGACATATGTCAAAGAGTTGTTCATGTTTTCCTTTCAAATACAGCAGAGCCCATTGTATCACTGAGATGCAGGTTTTGCTGTCATCTGAAGAGTTGTGAGGGCATGCCCACAGTTGCCAAAACTGCTAATGTGCACAGTACAGCTGCAAAATTTGTACTTGTTACTCTCAGACCTTGTGAACGCAATCCATAACTCTGAGTGCATCCATGTAGTCCATCTGTAGTTAGATGGCACTTGGCCTTGGTCTCCCAGTCATCTACATGCAACCATAATGGCCCAGCTGAAGCAAGTTAAATAGCTACTTCTGTTAAGAAAGTTAAGTGCATTTGAGAGGGCTGTTCTCAGGGATTTGCACACCCCAGACACTACCTACACACACAAGGACATGTTCACTTCCTCCTCCCAAGAATGTTCTCCAGTGCCCCTAGACTTATGCCCGCAAATCTCACTCAGCTTGCTTACCAGCCTCCCAGTTGGCTTGAAAACCTGGGGAGCTCTATATCAATCCTCTTATTATTTGACTGCTTGGGGCTTTTACTCAACCTTGTGAATAAAAAATCTAAAAGCTTTTTGGGTGCAAAAAGTATTTCAGGGCTGCCATATTCAGCACTTCCAGGATATCTGCACATGACATAACTGAGGCTAGTTCATGATGTGGGTTTGGCTTGCAGCAGTAAGCCAAAGTACTTAATTGACTTCATATTCATCCAAACAAAGGCTGTGCATGTAGAGAGCTGTGGTGCCAGTGATTATACTGGAGCAGCTTGGCTGACATGCCTCCATCTATCATGAAATACACCAGCTCAGGACCCGTGTGCCATACCAGTAAGCTCCATGGTGCACTGTCACCTAGGACTTGAGCATCTTGCTGTGTCTGAGAGGTCTGGGAACTTAACAAGCCTTGCAACAGATGAGACTCTCTGAAGCCATTAATTCACTCCTTCCGTCTTCACTGCCATGCTCAGGACAAGTGGAGGGGCCCTAGGCATGAAGTTGTGCTTCTGGCATTGCCTGTGGCTCTGGTAGG